CATCTTCGTTGCCTTGCTTTCAAAATCGTAGACTCGTCTTTGATCGTTACCATGCGACGTGGAAATTAGGAATCAGCCTTGCAGGTATGGCATTTTACTCGCACAAGTTGTTATCTTTGTTGTGCAATACGACACTTTTCTTTGTTATCTATAAAAGAACGGGCAAGATAGATAGAAGAAAAGTCTTTGAGAAATAAAGATAATTTCTTATTGGACATAACATTCATGACAAAGCAAAATATCTAAAGGGTAATATCTCCCTTTTACATACAATTAATGTTTGGAAACGTGACCTTTCGTTAGGCAATTCGATTGAGATTTATGCAACCTTCAACTTTGACATCATGTAGTTCCAAAAGATAAACTTTGTACTATATTGACTTTAACCTTTTATTAATTGGCTCTGTCCCGTTAATTACGGCCTTTGACTCATTATCAACATTTTGTTAGCTTTACTCTTGTATAAATTGACCATATAAAATCTTGAGAAAATGATGTAGTTGAATAAACTATTTAATGCATGTATCAAACAATTAATTAATTAGTCATTTTGTTGTGAGGTGCAAAGACCAAGTCAACAAAGTATGTGAATTAATCTCAATGATATGGTAGAGAAAATAGAAGTTACCCGAGACGGACATTGATTTATCCATTCACTCGTGATTAAGAGTTTGTAAGTTAAAAGAGTTGTACTTCTGCAATGACGTAGTACATAACGCCTATAAAAAGTTTATTAATTTCATAAACTCCATGTCTGAAGTTTGAGTACAACTTCATTCCAGCACGTCATTCCATGCAAGTGGCTGTGAAAGCTTATTGCACTTTATTGTAAACGAGTGTAGCCACTACCCAACTGAACAACTAGTTGCAAGCAGGGTAAATACACTTTAATGCTTCATTCCACTTAAGAACCTACCTACGTACCTTCAAATTGTTCACATTACAAAATGAAAAAGTTTCATTACACTTAGCAATGAAGGAAAATATTGAAGCCAGCATTTAAGATATTTTGGAGTCTGTGTGATAGCAATCTCTATCCCACTGAATTTTCTTAAGAGGACTTGGTGGAATTTTCTTCCAAGGAAGAATTGACAGGCAAAAGAGCACTCAAAACTAAAGACTACTATATATATATATATATATCTAATACGTATTCATTGTACACCTGTGCTCATACATGTATTCACACCTTAATAGTAATTAAGGAAATTATAAGCAATTGATAAATTATATATATTTTGAAGAAAATGTAAGACCCCTTCAGTTGAGACACGTTTAATACTTTAACTTTTTCAAAATTTTCTCTCTTTTTTTTTTTGCAATAATTAAAACAGAGAAAAAAACCGAAACACAGGCATAGTAAACATCTCCAATTCCCATCCACCTACGTCTAACGAATTATTAAACCAAGAATATTAGTAGAATACAATTTTTACCTCTCTAACCTAGCAATTTCGTCCGACTCCAACCACAGGAGAAAGACTTAGCAATTGTAAGAAAGTCTCTTCCAATATTGTCTTTTAAAGTTTTATTATCTTATATAGTTTGAAACTAGTGCTGATATATGAAGGCTTAAATTTAGAAATTCAAATTTCTTCTGGAAGAAGATACTGTTTTTTCTTGGTACTAGAAAAAGATTACTATGCAAAAGTCACACAATCATCCAAAACATAACTAATAAAAAAGTGAAAGAAATACTTTTTGGCTTCTTCTTTTTAAGTTTTATTATCTTGATTTACTTAATTATCGCAGACATCTCTACGATTAGAATTTAACGTTTTATTATTTTAATTCAGAAATTCTGCTTTTAAACTTTCAAAGAAAGAATACAAAGAAAAAAAAATTGAATGATATGTACAGAGTAAAATCTTAAATATCCTAAATTTATCATGTCGATATAAATAGTGCATCTTTAAATTATTCATGAAAGAGATTAAAATCTAAAAATAAAATTTAAAAATACTTTTTAATAAATTACGTTGAGCCCCCACAATAAATTACTGAAATAATCTTGACCACTTGGTTATCATAAAGAATGTTGACTTGAATTAACCTTTTTCGATAAAATAATTTCTTTGATTTAATTACTGATTTGACATAATAAGGTTGGTGTGAAGTTCATATGCCAACAAATTTAAACATATTGTTATTTTCACGAACAACTTGAGAAAATTGATATAAAGAATTCACATCATTACATAAATTTAAGATATATAACGCTTATAAAACGTTCATTTCATAAATCATCCTAAGTTCTATTACAACTTCACTTAGCACAAGGAAAATCCATGCACGTGACTGTGAAGCTTATTGCACTCTATTATATATGAGCAATACAATATATCTTCATAAGCAAATACACTTCAAGGGCAGAACACAACCCTGTAATTAGTCCCACCAGGGCAAGTAAATGTGCTTGTTTGATCATCCTTGGGGTAACTGTAAGCATCAGGGCACCTATCCTTGAAGAACTTGGAGTAATCTGTTGGATCACAGTTCCCAGAATTGCAACAATATTGATCAGTCTTGAAAACGGTACAAGGATTATTGCACCCACCCGGGGCTTTCAGTGGATTAGGGCACTGCCCTATGATATCTGCCTTGCATGTAATACCCCTGGTGCACCCCCCAGAAGTTGGACTAAAGTCCATAGGAACATTAAATCCATCAACTAAAGAGATATCGAAGAAATCCAAGTTATTGAACTGGTTTAGTGCGTATTCAGCCAGGGCGTTGGGGGGCGCACCATAGGCTTGGCACTCGAGGAGCCCCCCACAGTCTCCTGTTTGGCAGCTGCCACGCCCGGCTCCATCAAATTGGCAATTGGTTCGAGCCCAGACACGAGCTCCTGTGGTGCCGGAGTTCACGTTTATGTCCCAGACTCCACCGCTGTCCAGCTGCCTGCCACCACCGGGCACGGCTGCTGCCCAGACCGTGAAGGGCAGTTGTTTCGGATGTTAATAGTAGCAGCATTTGCCACCGTGAAGTAGAGAGCAATAAAAGAGAAGGCAAACAGAGAGAGGGTTTTGAAGTTCATTTTTGCGAAAGGGCGAAGTACTTAATTTGTATCGAGCTCGTCAGGAAGAGGTGGATTTATAAAGATGCAAAGAGTCGAGACTAGTGGCTCCTCGATGGGAACGTAAATATTCTCTCCCTATCTCTTCCCAACCAACAAATTGTCACCACGTTGCATTGTAACAAACCATTAAAAGTTTTATCTTAACAGCAAAGTTCCATTAAAAGTTTTATCTTGTTATCAACATCAAAGGCAAAGTATGAGTATGCTGTTGCTTATAATATACTACCAAAATACATAAAAAAATGGATAAAAATATGAGGAAGATGTCATGGAAAATAAATAAATGGATGTTGGTAATTACTTTATGTATCATGATTTTTTTTAAAAGAAATATGTGTAATGGAATTGGTATAAAAATTATTTAAAAACAAAAGGAATTTATTGTCAAATTAAGAAAAAGAAAATAGAATGTTGTTTAAAGTCATAAAATCTTATTATTAAATGTTAACATTAAATCTTATGGAAATTTATTATTAATGTTAATAATAATAGTTCTTTCTTATAGCTCAAACAAATTGGTTCGTCTAAAGGACTACGTTGGTGGTATTAGTGACGACCACAACCTTGTTTTTGTGGTTGGTGCAATGGCTCACGGGAAAATTGATGCTGACTACGTAGATGATCTCATATCAATTTATGGAGGTCGGATGAGTGCTAGAATGTGTTTGGAAGAAATATTCGAAGCTGTGGAGAGTAAATGGAAGATCTTATGAACATCCTGTTCATCTTTCACCTTAAATAGTATTGGAAAGAGTCCATTTTGTTTGTTATATAGCTATGTTTGAAACTTTATTCATCAAAAGCAGTCAGTAAGGTCACCTTCGATTTCCCATATATGAGAAACCTAATGATCCCTGCAGATGGGTTACGAACTGAAATCTTTAAAATATTGCTTTCAAAAAAAATATATTATAATTCTTTCGAGAGTAGCAATTTTTTGACTGGTATAAACAAGAATCGCTGATCAAATGGATTATGAATACAAGAAAAAACTTCTCATAAATCCGGCCACATACAATCATGTCTAAACCAATAAAATTGATTAACAAGTCTGTAACAGTGTTTGGAGCTCGCTGCTCTCTTATTGTTACATAGCAGTCGTGAAATTTTAAGTACAAGAACATCATGACTTAAATAATTGTTAGTATTAATTTCAAGGACAGAACACTACCTTATAGTCAGTCCCAGCAGGACATGTAAAAGTGCTTGTTTCATCATCCTTAGGGTAACTGTACGCATCAGGGCACCTTTCCTTGAAAAAACTAGAGAAATTTGTAGGACCACAGCTCCCAGAATTGCAACAATATTGATCAGTTTTGAACACAGTACAAGGATTATTGCACCCATCAGCGGCCTGAAGTTCAGTCGGGCACTGCCCTACAATCTCTGAACTGCATTTGATCCCTCTAGTGCACCCACCGGAAGTTGGACTAAATTCCATGGGAACATTGAATCCATCAACAAGAGAGATATCAAAGAAATCCATGCCATTGAACTGGTTTAATGCGTATTCAGCCAGGGTGTTAGGAGGCAAACCATAGCCTTGGCATTGAAGGAGTCCCCCACAGTCACCTGTCTGGCATTTACCTTGCCCTGCTTCATCAAATTGGCAATTGGTTCGAGCCCAGATGCGAGCGCCTCCAGTTCCAGAGCTTACGTCGAGGTCCCAAACTTGGCCATGGTCAAGCTGCCTGCCTCCTCCAGGCGCTGCTGCAGCCCAAACCGTGTAGGGGCAGTTGTTTCGGATATTGAAAGTGGCTGCATGGGCTAATGTGATGTAGAGGGCAACACAAACAAAGGAATATGTTGAAATATTTTTGTAGCTCGTCATCTTCGTAATGCGAAAGATATAGACTTAAGAATTGAATCTCTGATCTAAATTGTGTGGTACTTATGACAAAAAAAATCGAATTTATAGAGCTTTTGCACAAATCTAAATGTAGTTCTCTTAACTTACCAATAAAGAAATGGAGAACTTTCCGAATTTGGATTTTCTGGAACTGTGCTCTTCTACCTCTGGTTCACGGGAGGTCTCAATTTTAAAGTAACTTAACAGAAAAGAGATGTCTCAATTTACTTAACAAGAGGGCTCGTTACACAATCTTCTGTCATTCTCATAAACTCAGCCAATGAACAGATAAACAGAAAAGAGAGAAGAATCTGAATTTGGATTCGTCAAAAGGGTCTCCCTGCATTATTAATAAGTACAGCGCTAGAATTTATACTTGGGTTACCAATCAGTAGCTTGGTCCATGATATATAAACACCATAATATCTCCAAGCCTTCATGCACAAGCTGGAGCTTTCCATTGATTCACGCGGATTGAGTCTGCAAGAGGTTTTGAGCTTCCTGATGAAAAGTAAGTCATGCATTAAAATTATTGATCCAATATTAGAAGATAAAAAGAAAAGGTTGGATTAAAGTGAAATTTACTTTAAAAATATAGAAACATGATGTTATCGATAAGAACAGCAGCCCATTAAACCCAATAATAATGAATATTAGGCTTAAGCCTGCCTGCAGCTTAAGAATGTGAAGTGCAAACTGGCCCATAGAATTTAACAATCGCAACTTAAAATGGTCTAAGTCAATGGACTTTCAGGTGCGGGCTTCTCATTCTCGGCTCAATTTAACACAAAACTGTGAGGGCATTCTTGGAAAAGCACAACAAACGGTTTCTGTTTATAAACGTTGAAAGAAACGAAAACGCCGTTTAATGGACCGTTCACTCGTCAGACTTGCAACGTAAGCTTCTCTCTCACTTGGCTTCTCAAAGAAGACACGACAGCAATTGTAAATCCGTTACGAGTAGCACTTAAATACCCATTCCAGTTTCCCGCTACTTCACTTTCATTTCCATCAATCTCCCCGAAAAGGAGAAGACGGAGGAAACGGAAAGAGAGAGCAAAATTTCTTCAGTGATCTTTATATTTTCCGTTCCATAATCCCCAAAACGTTCTTCTTTAGATGCGAACAACCGTAGCTCTTTTCCTTTTTTGGGTTCTTTTGGCGGTTGCAATTATCAGAGGCAAAGTTTCAGGTAAAGTTTTCAGTTCTCGAAAACCCTAGAAGTTTCTTTCTGTTTGAGGTTTCTCTGTTTTTTTCTTGCTTTAAGGTAATTTTGTATTCCTTTAGTTTGATTGTGATGTTGTTATGCAGAGTTCTGGGTGCTCTGTTTGGCTGGCTAGGAAGCTGTAGCAAGACGTGGGAAATTTTTCTGAGAAAGGAATCACGGGACTGAAGTATGGGTTTTTTAAGTTTTTTGATGTATGAAGATGGTTTGTTATTCTTTATTCATGTTAACCATGCTTGTAGATAACTTATCATCTTTTCTTTTACTCTGTTTTCTTGGGGAAAAAACAGCTAGCTCATAAATTTTTTTGATGCGGGTTTTAGGGTAAATCTTCTGTTATGAGTTTTCATGTGCCCTGATGACTACTAAATATTGGGCTTTTTATGTTTTGCCTGAGGAGTACATTTTTGTTGCTATAACTAAATGCAGAAAAGTGAAGAGGATATTTGATGCTGAAACCTTGATTAAAATCAAATCGAATGGAGCTTTAATTTTTCTTTACATTTAGGGCTTGTGGAATTTGTAGAAAGTTCAACGGTAAGCTTAGTTTTGTGATTATGATTATGGATGGCAGCTGAGTAATTGAGAAGATCATGGTGGAAGTGAAGAAGGAAAAAGAAGAGTACTATGAAGATTTAGCAGAAGAAGATATATCTGCTTCACGTTCTTCATTTCCTGACAGCAGTTGTGATACTGCTATGAGATCAGCTTCTCTTCAAGGGTATGTTTTTATGACTACAATTTCTCAATGTAAATTAGAAATTGGAAATGTCCCATGAAATTGCTTTGTAAAACATTATTAGCCAGTTTGGGAAAACTTGCATTTTGATCTGAGCTTTTCTTGATGTAGTAGAAAGGTAACTGGTCCAACCAGATATTCGAGGAAAGGAGGGTGGTCCCAAGAAGAGGTTAGTCACTGGAGAGTAGAAACTGATATTTGGTTATAGCTGGGTGTTTTATAATTACATGCCTAATGACTTAGCTAGAATGATAGAACTTGCTATGGCTTTTCAAAACTTTAAACTCAATCGAAGACCTAAAATTGGCATGTTTAACTGAACATTTTATTTTAAAACGAAGAAAGTCAACTAACATTAGAGAATAAAATTATCAGGATGAACACACTCATCTGTTTGGTTGGTTTAAGGCATTACTTCTTTCTTTTAAGGCAGATTTTGTACTCTTGATATTTATTGTCTCCTCTCATTTGTAAGCACATGATAATGGTTGGACAGGATAATCTTTTGACTGAAGCAGTGAAAAAATGCAATGCAAGGAATTGGAAGAAAATAGGTAGGTGTGAAAATTTCACCTACTGTTTTAGTTTCTGTGCTTTTGATTTTATAGATACTCATATGAATTGTGAAACCCCTTATTGTTTTTGGTTGGTTGGAGGACTCTTTATAAGTCCTAGTTTTGACAGGCTAAAAATATTTCTTTACAGCTTCTTGTTTGACAAGCTATTTATACATGAATCTCTCTCTGCTGTTCTGCAGTAATTAAAAAGAAGTTAAATGCAAACTTTTGCATTGCAATTCTAAAATCTAGTTAATGTTTTCCGTGTACAGCTGAATTTCTCCCTGGAAGAACAGATATCCAGTGCTTGCATCGCTGGCAGAAGGTCCTGAATCCTGGAATTTTTAAAGGACCTTGGACAAAGGAGGTAGAAATGAAAAACCATGTTTGCATATGCTTTGTCTTTCGAATATCATCGATACATGATTGTGGGCCATTGTTTTTTTGACTTTCAGGAGGATGATTGTATTACTAAGTTGGTTGAAAAGTATGGTTGTAGGAGATGGTCTGTCATTGCAAAGTTCTTAAGAGGCCGCATAGGCAAGCAATGCCGAGAAAGGTCGGTGCATTAAATTCTTCAATGAAAAGATTATTAAACTTTTATCCATTTAGCAATGGTATGCTATATCCTCTGACATTGAGCCATTGCAAAGTTATTGCAAAGGGAATTTTCATCACGTGAACTTATTTATTCCAATAGGGTCTTCCTTTGTTGTTATTAGGCTTTTTAACTTTCCTATCTTCTATGATAGGAAGGAGAAAGGAGGAAAAGCCCTGATCTGTTTACAGTTTGACACTTTAAATAGATAAATGCCCAGGATTTATAACTGACCTACATATTTTTATTGTGCTATTTTGGTTAACAAGGATCCTACGCATTATGTCATATTATGCATAAGATTTATCCAACAAATAGTTTACCTTTTTCAGGTGGTACAATCATTTGGACCCAACCATAAGAAAAGATTCATGGACAGAAGAAGAGGAGGCCGCACTTGCTTATTATCACCAAATATATGGGAACAAGTGGACCACATTAGCAAAGCTTCTACCTGGAAGGTATGCACTGATTAAAATTTAATTGCTAAAGCAAAATTGTTTGTAACACAATGTTATGAAAGTGATAGCTACATATGCTTATAGTTAAGGCCATATGTATATCAAATATTCATTTGTATAAAATTGGACGATGGATTTTGCTTATTTCTTGTAATATGCTGTGCTCATGTCTTTTTGGTGATTTGCAGGACTGATAATGCAATAAAAAATCACTGGAACTGTACGTTAAAGAAGAAGTTGGGTTTCTACTCTTCTAATTGTTATGCAGTGGACATCTGTGACGATGGATCTTCTGATTTTAGCGATCAGGAAATTTCACCAAATTGCATTAAGGTCAGAGAAGAGAGACAAGGTCTTGATGAAACAGTTTCTGTCTATCCGAATATTGATGTAGATTATAGTGTTGACAGATGTAATTTAGATTTGGTTCTTGGAATTGCTAATCAAACAGAAACCAAACCAGAAGCAGACTCTGGGAAGTTTGAAAAGTGTTGGTCTGCAGGAGTGCCAAATGAGCAGATAACTCCACTTAAGAGAGTGCACTTTGATGACAAAGTTAATACTACTGCAGAAGATTCACTTATCATATCTGTAAGAAGCAATGCTAAACACACTAAGATACATGAACCTCAATCAGCCTCATGCAGAGCAACTTCTGAGGATACTCAGGCTCTTCTTCCTTCAACATCAGTTGGTTCTCCATTAAGTCCCCTAACTTTTAAATTTGGTGAGGATAATGGACAGGTCGACAAGGAAAACACCAATCAGAGAATGCATACAGCATATGCAAGTGACTGCTTGTTGCATAATGAGCCATCTCAGCTGAAGGATTCAACTAGTGCCATATATCCCATTGTGGACAATCAAGATATGCACATAAAAAGTTCGTTTTGTTATTCTGCTCCACCTAAACTCGTGGGAAGTTGCTCTCTCAACAGTAGTAGTCCAGAATCTATATTGAGGATTTCTGCAATGACTTTCAAAAGCCCTTCTATCATAAGGAAGAGAAGTTACAAAAAGGCTTGGACTGATAACTTTTCTGATGCCGCCTGCTCACCTGCAAGGACTTTCACATGTTTTCATTGGGAAGAAGTAAATGGTACTTACTGATGAATGCATAGCAGGTTTTCCTTGATCTGAAGTTTCCACTGTTGTATAGTGACCTATGAAGAGGGGACATGGTTTACATGTGTTCAGCTTACGGTGAGTCATAACTGACATACATTGTATTTTCCCATCCTTTTTCTATCAGCGGAGTGTTTTGAAATTCTATACCAATTGTTCTATCCAAATTTGAATACAAGGTTTGAAGCTTTTTGGAAATCAAATCCCTCTTTATTCTCTGCTTTTACTTTTACTTTGACAAGTACTGCAACGGACTGAATGATCGGCGTGTTCACGTATTGCATGTTGGATGATACCCTGTCCTTTTATGTGACAAAACGGCAACGTAGAAAGACACCAAATAGTGAACGCACCAGCGCCCAATCATGGAACCGCATTTCTTCCCCATGAACGTGATGAGCATCTTTGCTGTTTGATTGTAAATAAAAGCCTTCCATAAATTAACCAACTTGACCATATCACCCAACTGTTTCTAACTTCTTGGGTCCCGCGTCTAACAAACTAGTCAACCTGCTTATCCAAATTACGCAAGAAAGATCATGCTGATCACGTGAGTGGGCCAAATTCTTCACTTCAAACTTTCTCTAGAAATATGTTATGCGGTAAAGTGGTAGTGCAATAGCAGTATTGCCAAAATCCCTATGGGTTTGTTACATAACAACCCTAAGATAAAGACGAGGCCTTTTAAGGATAATTCATAAATATCTAAAATTAAATTAACATTCAGAATTCGTGATGAAATTTGCCATTTTTTTTTGCTGGCCAAAGAATTGTATAAGTTTTGCCAAAAGTATTTTCTCAAGAAAATAAGGGGATGATTTACCATTCTTGTTCTTGATCAAATTTGTTTGCCACCAATATATTAATATGTGCCTTGGATGGAAACTTTCCTTGTGCTGAAACTATCAAGAGCGCGCGAAAGGGCCAATACAATAACAACCAAATAGCTGTTCGCTTCTCTCTCTATATCTAAAACCCTTTCACAATCATTGCCTTTTCTGTGCATTCTTATCCATTTTTTTATGCTTTCCAAAAGATAGTTTCCTTGATTTTCTCAAATACGTCTCCTTCTGAACGTAAATACTTCCAAAGTTGTTTGCTCCTTATTTTCTTGTCATCGAAAAGAAACTCTTTGAAAACCCAGTCTCCTTCTCCCTCTCCCTGTCTTTCTTTGAGTTCTATATTCAAAAAGAAAACCGTTCTTTATATTCTTTTGCGTCTGTTCGCAAATGGGTTCTTTAGAAAAAACCATTCTTGTTACTGGTGGAGCTGGGTTCATTGGCACCCACACAGTGGTGCAGCTTCTCAATGGAGGTTTTAGAGTGTCGATTATTGACAATCTTGATAATTCTGTTATCGAAGCTGTTCATAGGGTTAAGGAATTGGTGGGTCCTGAGCTCTCTAAGAAGCTTGACTTCAATTTGGTATGAAATTCTTCATTTCTCCCTCCAAAAATGAAATCTTTGAATCTTTACTGTATGTTTGTTTTTCAGTATTATGATCATACATTTGGGTTTTTCTTGGTTTTAAGATTCCTGTTCAATGTTTTATATATTGCTTTGAGCATGATCAAGGTTTTGGTTTGGTTTGGTTGCAGGGTGATCTGAGGAATAGGGAGGACTTGGAGAAGCTTTTCTCTAAGACACAGTATGTTAAACTTGACGTATATAACTTTTTTCTGGTTTTGGTTATTTGCGGTTTGAATATGTCATTGTATTGTTTGCATTTTCCTAAATTTTAGTATCTAGGCAAATGGAATTTTGAAAGTTGAATCTCGTATCTTAATATTTGTTTTGCTTTGCAATTTTCCTTTTAACTTTTAGAAATGATTTAAAATGAATATTATTTGACTAAAGTTGTGGAACTGACTTCTTCTATATCTAAAAACTGCCATAGTTTTGATGCTGTCATCCATTTTGCTGGCCTTAAGGCTGTTGGAGAGAGTGTTGCTAACCCCCGCCGTTATTTCGACAATAATTTGATTGGAACCATCAATCTGTATGAGATTATGGCCAAATATGATTGTAAAAAGGTACGAGAAATTCTTGAAATCTTTTAGTTTTCTCTCTGTGAGTTCTTTTTGGCATAGTATTTAATAGTCGCCCCTGCAACTGCTACAAGGCAGATGATAAATTACTATAATTCCAAGAAGTATCTACTGAACTGCTTATTGATGTTTCAAAAGTTCACATTTTGTTATTCTTTCAAAAGGCCGTTTTTATCTCTATGACTAGCACTTTTTCAATTGTAACTATGTGGAAAACTAAATAATCCAGTCAAAAATTATATATTTCTTTGTAGAGGTTCTTGAATATTTTGTTATATCATAATGGAGCAGAGGGTTAAAACTTTAGTTATGTTTAAAATCTGTATAGGTAATTCTGTATAGGTTCCACTGTTTTTATGCCAAGAAACGATAGTAGCTTCTCTTGTCCCACTCTCCATTCCACAATAGTTTTAAGTTGCCCATATCCTTCAGCCACTGCTAACACAAGATTATACTTTTTCTTTCTTTGGGAAAACAGATGGTATTCTCATCCTCTGCAACTGTCTATGGCCAACCTGAAAAGATTCCATGTGTTGAGGATTTTGAGTTAAAGGCTATGAATCCTTATGGTCGCACAAAGGTAAATAGCAGTTTGTCCTAAAATGTGTCCTTTCTTAGTTTGTAATAATTGTATGATCATTGTGTTAAGCTGGATAAACCCTCTAGATTTGTTATTTGCTAACCTTGTGTTTAGACTAAAAGCTTTTCCCTAAATTTCACCAGCTTTTCCTTGAAGAAATCGCGCAAGATATTCAGAAGGCAGAGCCAGATTGGAGTATTATTTTACTGAGGTACTTCAATCCTGTTGGTGCTCATGAGAGTGGTAAAATTGGTGAAGATCCGAAGGGCATCCCAAACAATCTCATGCCTTACATACAGCAAGTGGCTGTTGGCAGATTGCCTGAACTTAATGTGTATGGTCATGATTATTCAACTAAAGATGGCAGTGCGGTATGTTTATGAAAGCTAATGTTCCTTCTTAAATAAGGCAGAATTTGTGTAGGATTAGAAGTCCTTTTTTTTTTTGGAGTCAACATTGTAATTCATCTCATGTGCCTTCTGGACATCAAGTATATATTTTTCCTTCATATATATACATACAAAATAAAGTTATTAGTAATGATTAAATTGATTTTCTTTCCTAATGAGATTGCTCATTTGTTGACAGATTCGAGACTACATCCATGTTATGGACTTAGCAGATGGTCATATTGCTGCACTTAGGAAGCTTTTTACTACACAGAATATAGGTAAACAATTTATATCATTACATCTTAATGAACTTGCTTTCATATAATTACCGCTATGAATTGGTAAATTTATGGTTTTTATAAAACTTTTCTTCTAGGTTGCGTTGCCTATAACCTTGGAACTGGCTGTGGTACATCTGTGCTTGAAATGGTTGCTGCTTTTGAGAAGGCTTCTGGAAAGGTGAATGTTCTCTCTCTCTCTGGCCCCCCTACCCCCCCTTTTTTATCTCTCTCTCTCTCTCCTCCCTATTTGTAAATTGCTGCTGCTGAAAATATTGCAGAAAATCCCTATTAAACTATGCCCAAGAAGACCAGGAGATGCTACAGCTGTTTATGCTTCTACTGAGAAAGCTCAAAAAAACTTGGTTGGAAGTATGTCTAGAATTCCCATCTCTTTTTCAAATTTTATTCATTAGAGTTTAATATAGATAAAAAGCAAAAAAAAAAAAAAAAAAAGAAAGCATAAGGCAAATCCTCTCTTATATATGCTTTGTGTATATATGTTTCAGGTTTTTTTGCTCAATATATTGTTTCAGGTTTGCTAGCAAATAACAATCCATTTATCAATAATCAATTGATCATTAACAAAAACAATTTTTATGAACCATTGGACATAATCATATCATATTTAATTATTTATTTTGCTTTTGTTGTTTTCAGTTATATTGTCTTTTTGCAGTTAAAATTTTGGTCTTTTGCAGGGCAAAATATGGGGTCGCGGAAATGTGCCGTGACCAATGGAACTGGGCTAGCAACAATCCATGGGGTTTTCAGTCTAAGCCTTAGGTTTTCCAAGTCATACTATTTCTTCCCAGTTGAAAAGTTTCTCCTGGAATTGGAATGTATAAAACTTGGTTCCTTGTTTAATTTGCTCACGTTACAGACTTACAGTGAGCAATAAACCTGCTCTTTCAACATGTCATCTGGGGAAACATTTGTCTGATGAATCTTATAAAGATTTGAACAAGTGTTAAAAAGATCTTGTAGAACTCCAGTAGGTTACATGGGTAACTCCCTTCTTTATACTTGTATTCGTGTGTGATCATTTCTGGGGTTACATAAAAAGGTTTTAAATTGACTATAAAGAGTTGACTATACAAATCCCTTTCAGTTGCCATCGTCTTCCTTTGAAATTTGGGCGGTCGTGAGTCTACAATCTTATCTTTATAACAGGATTATAAAAGCGCGATAATCCCACTAGGCACTCTGAAATCAGCATGCTCAGCTTAGTTTCTAGGCTTCATCCTAGTGAACTTCAAGCTCATACAAGAAACAAACGTCAGGTCTGAAATTTTCTTGTTATTTTGTCAAACAAACTGCCGACCATACCCTGACAGGAACCTTCCCTAGAAACTCCTATTATCAACTGCATTCTGAAGGATCTCATATTCACAAAAAGCCAACTCAAAGAAACAAAGAATCAGATTTGAAGGGGCCCCAATATTAATTAGAAGCAGGCTTGAGGAAGCTTCAACTAAAGAATGGAGCAGGTAAAGGAACCAGGCAAAGAAGACAGGGAACATGTTGTTGGCGATGGCTTGTAGAATCATGGCTGGTGTTTCGCCTGTGGCAGCAGCCGATTCTCAGACTCAGCATCCATTTCCAACCCCTTCACCGTTCTCTTTCTCGGGGACTTCTTCAAGGTGGAGCTCAAGACCTCCCATAGATCATTCAACTCTCTTCCTTCGGTTCTTGCTGCTTCTCTTCTCTTTTATCTCAGCTCTCTCACTGGCTGCCCCCTCAACAAAGAAGAAAGGCCAACGACCTCCTAGCTTCACTCAGTACCCAGAATTAATGTAAGCATAACTATGAATTTGTTTTGATTTTATGACGAGATTTCAAAGAAAAGCCTATAGAGGGGGAGATTGAAACGATTGAGAAACAAAGAAATCCACAGATCACCTAAGCTAAGAGATCACCTTTATCTAACAGCAATCTCAAATCTTAAAGGAAGGAACTGCCTGGAACCTTGCCTCTGCCCTCCAAAGCCTCATCCCCCAAATAACTTAAAATCCGAAAGGTGTGCAAAATTGGAGGTCCAACTTCCGAAATCCTAGTTGGGGTCCAACTAGCCTCTTCATCATACCTCTTTAAATCTTTGTCCTGGAATGGCTTTTATTGAAATGCTTAGCACAGCATAGGTCTCTAAAGTAACAAAACTGAAAAATGTTCAGGTTAATACTGATGCATGCATGTTCTCGGATAGTATAGATCTTAAGGACTTCTGATTTTTTGTTCTCAACCCAATATTTCAACATGCAATTATCAGAGTTCAGTCTATTTAAACAAGATTACTTTATTGTCTCCGTGTAGATACTGCTTCATTGTAGCCATTTTAGCTTTCCTATACGCAGCTTTCCAACTGTTTAAAGGTATTTGTGACATTGCTCACAGAGGCATTCTGATCTCAGATAAGACCTCGGACTACCTTAGCTTTGTCCTCGACCAGGCAAGTGCACTCCCCATTGCAACACTCTGTGTCCCTCTTATCTTATTTTAGATACTACCTATTGTCTGTGTGATAGCTAATTCATGGGTAGCCTGTAACAGTTGGCGGGTTACCTTCTCATCTCATCTTCTTCAGTGGCCATACCAATCATTCGACAGGTTGAGAAAAGCACACCCGTTTGGAAGGGAACCATCATATCAACTAGCATGTCCTTTGCAACATTTCTAGTTATAGCAATTTGTGCTCTCTTCTCCGGCTACAAGCTCTGCAAGAGAAACGTCTGGTAAATAGTGATTTAGTTTGCTGGCTGGTGTATGTTACTGTTGTCATGCTTCCATCCACAAATAACTGTTTCAATACACAGTATTAATAAATTAAAACGGCATACTGCCGTATTTACGATATCCTTCAGACATCCAGTTTGAGATGTAATCTGGGGGCTTGTAATGTGACTGAAAGTTTAAGTCTATGTTAGCAAAACTCAGATGTCAAAATATAACATGAGGAAAGCTAGACTGTTTGCCACTGGAAAAGGGATCTAATTTCTCTTTTTCTGGTGAACGCATCCTGTTTCTTGCTGCTATTGTCACTCCATGTTTTTGCATTCACCCTTGATTAAATAGTTCAGATCAGTTACTGAAAGCACTCTGTACAGAAATAGTCGAAACAATAAGTGTACAACTGAACTAAACACAGGGTGTTGGTAAAGTTGGTAGAAAAGGATGATATATGCATAGCCTTCCCCCCACCCCAAAAGCTTTAAAAAATATGGGAATAAAGTTCACTAGACCACGATACAAACTTCTGGTATATTATAAGCGATGTAAACAGAAGCAGGAGAAAGGTCTGGGTTGATTTTTTATTTCCAAATATGATACTGGAAAAAACGAGCATGTATCACCTTGCAGCCCCTAAAGTTTTCTCTGCTTCAATGACATGAAGTTTGCCTTCCGTGAACTCACAAGCTGGAATGGGAACCCCAAGCTGCTTCTGGAGCTTCTTCACAACAAACACTTCTGGCTCCTCACAGATGGTTACCACGGTACCTTTCCTGCCAAGCCGACCCGTTCGACCAGCTCGGTGTGCATAGTGGATAGAGTCAGTGGGTAAGTCCAGATTAACCACAAGGTCACATTCTGCCACATCCAAACCCCTTGCTGAAAGTTCATTTGTCACCAGAACTCTCACTTCCCCATGCTTAAATTTTTTCAATGTTGTTGACCTCACAAGCTTTCCAAGGTCACCATGCAGCTCTGCAGCTTTCATCCCACGAGCCTCTAGCTTGAAGACAGCATCTTTTAGCTGCTTTGTATGGTTCATGAAAGCTATCACTGACTTGGAATCAAGTGCATGAACACATCTTCTCAATGTGTCAACCTTGTGTTGTAATTTTGTGACACAATGGTAGTGTTTCAAAGCAGGTGGTAGGCTTTGTGATGCAGCTTGAGTCTGCATATTTGAACTTGAGTCTGAACTGGATGTAGGCCTTGAGAGATTAACAGGTCCAGAGGGAGAAACAGAGTCAAGTGGCAAGACTTTTTTCGCTTGAACAAGAAGTGGGTCGTGTCCCCAGCTCCTAGCTGCCCTTATAACTGAATATGGAACTGTAGCAGACACCATAATGGTCAGACGCTCAGCCCACTTAGCAAGTGAGCCACGGGGGTCAGCACCTGATCTCCTACCCACATGTTCCAATATCCGGTGCATATCCTCCCGGAAATTAAATGAAAGGAGCTCATCAACTTCATCTAAAACCAAGAAGCGACAGCCATGAGTGTGAAGCTTCCCAGCTGCACTGATCTCAGCAATTCGGCCAGGGGTGCCGACAACAATAGCTGGCTTGTTTTTCTTTAAAGCTTCTTCCTGTCTTGATCGGTTTGCACCTCCTACAAGTTGCTGAACAACTCTCTTGTCTGCAGGACCTAGAAGCTTTTCAAACTCCCTAACAATTTGCATCCCCAGTTCTCTAGAGGGAGCCACAATAACTGCTTCAATCTCTCTTTTCTTCCCAGATTCACCCTTGCCATTAGGAGATTTCTTTTTCAGAGGGCCTACTTCAGACAGTATGGGAAGGAGATACGCCAATGTTTTTCCTGAGCCCGTGTAAGACTGAATCACAACATCATGACCCTTGAGAACTGTTGGAACTGCTGCAGACTGAACATCAGTCGGAACCGTGAAGCCTGCAGTCTCTAATCTCTCTAGTAACAAAGGTGGGAGGCCAAGCTCCGAAAATGACTGTGCAGCAAAAGGCGCTGACTCAATTTCTAGTGAATTTTTCACCCCAACCACTTTACCTCCTTTTATACTGTTGCTTCCAACCACGCTCACCTTAGTTTTGGGTGCTTCATTAGAAACACTGAGCCTCTCCATTTTATTTCCTTTATTCTTGTTTGTTTCTTCAAACTCACTCTTGAAACCAAGGCTGGCAAGAGTGAGAGGCCCATTATTATGATTAACCTGACTCACGAAACGTAGACTAGGCTGGCGCCAAACTTTCCTAGACACACTAGGGAACCTATGGAAGGGTAAAGATTCTCCAAAAAATAGAAGCAACCTTGTTGAAGCTAACGCTGGCATCTTTGCTTGACTGTTTTTGAGCAGCAACTAAAGAATCCCTGTTTTTGCAATAGCTCAAGTCAGTACCATCTGACGCTCAAGGATTCCCAAAGTTTGGAAACAGTAGCCCAAGCTGCAGTTTCAGCGCAAGAATAAAAGGGTCAGAGCTATATCGACGGAAATATTAAGTACACATCCTAGCTTCTAAACATGCTACAGCAAACACTCAAAAACTTGTAGCCACGATATCAGTAGTATGAACAATAAAAAGCTCACAATTCATACGCTAACCTATTAATCTCTGCTTCCCGAAGCGCCTAAAGATATGTCTAGCAGGTAATAGAAGAAAAAAAAAGGGTCTTGCTCGTTAGCATTTGTCTATGTGTTGAAGTGTAAACTCTTATTCCTTAATAATAAGCAAGCCAAAACATGTTACAGAATTCTCAAATGGATTGGAATTTGAATTTAGTTTAAACGTAATGGACCGAAACTCAATTTAAATGATAAATATAAGTCATTCCACCATTGATTGAAGCATTTTATCAAACGGTTGGAGAGCAATATCAGAACCAAATAGTGGAACCGTAACAAAATGAGAAGGTTCAACTAGAGCCACGCTAACGAGAAACAACATTTGAGTGTTTGGATGCCAAAAAAAGTGTAATAAAGAAATGGACCGAAGAATTTCCTTTTCAAGAAAAAATTGAGAAACAAAAAACCATGCGACTTACCTTCGACTTAGAGCTAGAATTGCGTCCCGCGGCCTCCCTGGCGCTCTGCGTGAGAGAAAACTCGCAGCTCAATTACGCCACGTTTCGGATTGGCTTGAGGGTAAACAAGAAGAAACGATGCGTTTACAGACGTAAGCTGACTACCCACGGGCCCAAGGCCAAGATACAAGTTTTTGGGTTGGACCAAATTTGGGCTCAACATCAAGATATCTAACAGTCCATGGATGCCTCGTCCCAGTTACAACGAAGACAAATGAAACACCAGCGGAACCGGATTTGTCTTAACTCAGATCGCAATATATGACCTTAACATAAAGTCATCATATCATGTTATATTACGATACCTCATTAAATTTCTTAAAATTATAAAATTAATTACAAAATTGAAATTAGCAGGTAATCTATATATCAAATGAAGTTATATTAATAAAAATTAAAATTATATAAAAAATAATATATTCATTTATCTATGAAATTGAAAAAAAGAATTCCTCATCCGTTTCACCTACACTAACGTCGTAGATTCTTACAATTTTTATTACACGTCGTTTCATGTCCGAACGCCGGCATCCTCTGTGTCCTCTCCCCCCGAACTTTCCAGACTTGTCTCTTGTTCCAACTGAATAAAAGGAGGAAACGTAGCAGTTGCCAAACACGGCCTCTCTGTCTATCACTCTCTGCTTCTTCTTGCAAGAACAAAAAAGTGATATAATTTCGCTGAGGTTGATAATAGAGAACGTGGGGACCCTGAGAAAATGGAACAAACAAAGATGCTAAAGCAATGAAAAGAAACGAAAGGTCATTTCAAGTACCAGGTTCTTTTCACCAGTTGTGGGTTTACATTCGATCCCTGTCTTTTCTTTCTCGTATCCATTCCGCACTTCTTTTTTCTCTTCCTTTCTTAAGCGTGATCAAGACAGTTCGTTCATATTTCTTTTTCTAGTGTTGCGATCAAGCTCGATGCGAGTTTAGATATATTCTGAATGATGGCATTCAACAGTTTGCCTCTCTAATTAATCTTCTTTTCCAGTGAATCCTTCTTGGGTTATCCTCTTGCTCTGTCGGAATCAAAAGCAGCCATTTCCAGCATGAAAAGATGGAAGTAATTTTTTATGCCTCTGTTCTGCCATTCAGATTTTGATTTTTATATATATATTATCAGCTTTCTCTGTTTTTGTCGGCTCAATCTGTTTAAAAGCGTTTTCTTATTGCATGTTTTGGTGTTTTTTTGGCTTTTCTGTGGTGTTTCTAGGCTCTAAATTATGATGAAACTGGCTATTATTATAGAAACATGAGAAATTTCAAATTTATGTTGATTTAAACCAGCATCAAGGTATAAAAAACTTAAAACATGTTTTGGCCAAAACATGGGGTTTCGATGGTGTATGATGTTGGAAAAGAATGGGAAGTCTTTGGGCGAATCACATTCAATTACACATTAATTATGAATTCCTGGTATAGGGGCCACAGAGACATTACTGTTGTCTGCTAAACTTGGTATGAAAGTTACGTTGTTGGTAATTTTGGCTTCATTATTGAATAAAAGTACATAATTTGACTTAGAGGAGGAGTATTTAAAACATTGTCAAGGGAATTAAAATTTGAGGAGGAAAAAAACAGAAGAATAAAGGCAAGAAAAACAGCTAGAGACTGATAGGAACTTGGGAATGGTTGGTAGAAGTAAAAAAAAAGAAAAGAAACAGATTCTGAACTGGATTGCTTCTTGAAATGGCTGTTACTGATGTTATAAGCTAAGTTTCATATTGCCTTCTTTGGTAGCTAGTGTATTCCTGGGGATAGGGTTTTGACTCAAAAGTATCAGACAAAATCAATTATCTTCACTACTTTTTTCCATAAACTTTGAGAATGAAATGAGGTAGTGGTTAACTAGGAGAATTTAAATGAGATCTCTCTTGCCTATTTGAAAAATAAAACTGCATTTACCGATATCATCTTCATTTTGGGTTAGGGGGCGTGTAAGATGGAATGAAGCTAATCTCAGTGAAATTGAGGCAAATAAACCAGTAAGGAAAAAAATCGATGAACCTAAAACACCATATCATCCAATGATTGAAGAAGATGGTAAGGTGATCTTTTGCTCTCAATTCGCAGCTTTCTGCTTGGTGGGATTTGAAAGTTATCTTGATTAGTTCAGACATTATACTATTTGGTTTTTGTAGGTTCTCCTTCTGCTACACTAGATACTGCTAAATCCGTTGACTATGCTGCACATGCTGAAGCCTTAAGAAATGCTTTAAGTATAGTTGCTCTGAGTCAAAAGCACTTTAGTCCTTTTGGGGAATGGGCATCGTCTGGTGGAGAGGGTGAAACAGGGGAGAAAGGTCAAGGTGCTGGAATTATCTATAAGCAATTACATTGTTAAAAAGACATGAATTTAAACATAAATTATCGAATCTCTTCATTGTAACCCATTTCTCCCCTTGTTTCATACTTAGTTGTTGGTTAACCTGGCATGATTTGCTTGTAATATTTGTAACAGTACTGAAACTTGCTTAATATCAGGTTCTGCAAAGCAAAGAGATGATGTGAGCTTTACGGAGAGAAGGAGAGCACATTATGACGAGTTCAAGAAAGTGAAAGAACTGCAACAAGAGCTCTGCTTTCTCAATGATGAGCACAACAATGGAATACATAACCCTGGTTCGTGTTCGAGTCTTAGCATCAAAGCAAGAGAAATACATATAGAGGATAGCGATGAAATTCTGCGAATAATTGACATTGAGGAAACTTGATGATCTGAGCTTCCCTCAACAACCACATTCGCTTATCTTGAAAGTCTCATCAAAACCTAGTAATCATGGTTATCCAGTTTGTTGAAAGATTTTGTTAATGATATCTTAATCATTAATTTGTTAAAATTTCTATACAATTTTGACTGGACCAGCAGATAGAAACAGGAATCCACGCTCAATGAATCCTAGTTGAAATGGACTATAGACTCTGAATATGCGAACTGAACCATCATTTTTTCTGATTGATTATATCTGATCTTGAAGCAAATCTCCGAGACTTGACTTTGAGGTACACGATGAATACGCCTTTGGTCCCAAGTAATCATGCAGTTCACTCCAAATCAAACAAATAAGGTTATTGGATTACTTGTCAAAATTTAGCTTTAGAAGATTGCTCAATGAGCTGGGAAAAGCTCAACGTGCATGGCCTACGTACGTGAATCATTGCTGTAAGCCAAGAAAGGGAAATAACACAAAACAGCTACGCGGCTGCCTCCTTTAACACGGCAACCTAACGCTAGGTGGCGTATATAGTACCAAAGAACCGACATTAAAATAGCACATATCTATTTTTCAAAGACAACACAGCTGACAGCAATAAAGTGAACATGTCAAGGACTGTTTTACCCAGATGTTGGGGGATCTTCAGAATTAATTTAGTTTGAGCACAGTGGAAACTGACCATAATTTTCTACTCAAGATTTCATTACAAACTTAAAAAAATGGTTAATATGGTAAATTAAAGTAAGACTAAAAACAATTTAAGTTTAATTAGCATAACATTTGTTATCTTTTCAATTGAAATTTAGGAGTTACTTTATCCATCCAAATGTATGAAAAAGTATATATTATATACCACTCTTTAATATTTTTTGGTATTTGTGGACTGATTTTGTTTCCCCTTTAGAGTTAAAAGGAAATTAAATTAGTTTATGATGGGCATCTAATACACACCATCAATCACGATTTTTATTTACCAAATACAATCAATACATATACGTAATTAATAAGTATATTAAAGATCATAAATCAATTATTAATAAAGGGAAGTCGAACTCGAAAATTTGATGAACAAAACGATTACCGTACTTCCTCATTTTAACCGGATTTAGCCTTATGCAAAAGTCTTTAGCAACCTATTGACTTTAAACAATGACGGTTTGTCACATACTAATTGACAGTTCTTGTAAGGATATCTTTCCATATACAATCCAACAATGATTATTCACATCCTCCACGTGGCTCAACCACAGACCACTTTCTATCACCGCACCCGGGTGATCCAATCATGTCCCAACGTCTCATTATTCCACCCAAAACCCCTTATCTTCAGCAGCGGACACCAATTCCGACACGTATAAAGACAACTTGCGATCGCGCTGTTAAAAAAACCCGTAAAAATTCGAAAATATTTACTGCCTTCTGGAATTTATTACCACAGAATTATCCTTATCGAAATGAAAGAAGGAGAGAGAAGTTTCTGGAAAAGACCGTCACACATAATACAACCCTCTGGTGCCTTCCTTCGTTCCCGAGTGTGCGCGTGGGGCCCACGTACTTTGCCCTTTTCTCTATCTTTTCTTTCATTGTTTTTTAATCTTTTATTTTCCTTTCCTTCTCGAACCCACGATTTCTCTTTCTTCCCCTTATCATTTACTCCACCCAGAACTTTCTAGAAACAACAAAACCTAACTTCTCCTCCCTCTTTCGTTCCCTCCCTCCTCACTCTACCTCAACGTGCCGTCTTTCACTCTGTTAGGGCGTGGACATTTGATTAATCGGTGTCTGATTGCATGAGCCAGGTTTCTTGTTTCTTGTTTCCTGTTTGGTTGGTGCGAAAATTTTCGCCTTCTTTCAGGTAGGTAGCGAATATTTATTTTAATACTCCTATACCCTTTTAGTGTCTCTGTTAGATTTAATATTTGCGTTTTAATATATATTCTCTATGTTTGATGAAAGAAACGAATTAATGTTATAACATTTGTTCATCAGTTAGGTCAAAAAGATCACTAGAGCAGGAAACTGTTATCCTTTTGTAACTGTTTCCGTTTCCGTGAATCTGAATAACTTATATAAATAAGTTTTGTAGTTGAATTTGGCTGACTAAATTAGATATTCTCAGCTAGAAATATTTAGATATTCTTTTTTTTCATTTATATTTTCTTTTCTCGCACTTTCTTGGCAACCAAACGGAGCATCATCATGTGCTGATTTTTTTATTTGGGTAATTTTTTATTTAAGTTTGATCTAAATTAGAGTTTCCATTAATCACCAGTTAAAGAGCTAAAGACACGCCAAAGGAATCTCTCTCTCTGGAGAGTTCCGGTTTTGTAGGGTTCGGATCTAGCACCGAACCCCATGGCACCATTGTCGGCGGACGAACCCTGCGAATCCCCCGCCGGTGCCGCCAGTGACTCGCAACGATCTTTACCTACTCCGTTCCTTACCAAAACCTTTCAACTCGTCGATGATCCCTCCGTTGATGACTTGATTTCCTGGAACGACGATGGATCGACTTTTATCGTTTGGCGGCCCGCTGAATTCGCCCGTGATTTGCTCCCTAAGTACTTCAAACATAACAACTTCTCTAGCTTCGTCCGCCAACTCAACACTTATGTAAGTGTTAAAAATAAAGATAATAGTTTTCATAATCAGTTTAATTAAGTTTTTAAGTATAATTAGTTGATTAGAAAAATTAATTATTTGTTCGTATTTTTCTAGGGATTTAGAAAGGTGGTGCCGGATCGATGGGAGTTTGCGAACGATTGTTTTCGAAGAGGCGAAAAAGGACTTCTCCGAGACATACAGCGTCGGAAAATAACTCCTGCTGCTGCCGCTTCCGCGACAGGACCTTGCGGCGGTTCCTTGTAAGGTCTCCCCATCGAATTCGGATGAGCAGGTTATTTCGTCAAACTCGCCTCCTGTCGTTACCGTTGTACATCGGACCACGAGCTGCACGACAACGCCGGAGCTTTTAGAGGAGAACGAGAGGCTTAGAAAAGAAAACATGCAGCTGAACCATGAGTTGACTCAGTTGAAGGGATTGTGTAATAATATATTAACTTTGATGACGAATTATGCCTCCGGTCAGTTGGAGAATCCTTCAAATTTGGCGGAAGGAAAGGCTTTGGATCTTCTGCCGGCGAGGAACTCCGCCGGAACGGCGGAGGATGGTGGTTCGAAGGGGGCGATGGCGATGGAAGAGGAGGCGGACGATGTGACGCCTAAGTTGTTCGGAGTTTCCATTGGGTTGAAGCGCGTGAGGAGAGAGGAAGATGATGAGGAGCAGAATAATAACCAAGTGCTGCAGCAGGAGATTGAGCCTGGGTCCGAGGTTAAAGCAGAGCCGTTGGATGCGAGACTGATGATCAGGAAACTGCGTGGCTGGAGCTTGGGAAATGATTAAAGAGATTAGTTAATGTATTTGATTTTTAAGACAGGATGGTAATGATGACGAGGAGGAGGACGACGAGGGTGGTCCACCGGAGCGTGTTTCGAGGAATCACGTGTCGGTAAACCGACGCGTGGCGCGGGGAAGCATTTCTTCTGGTTGCTTCTGGAATTTGAAGCTCCTTCGGTTGGGAGTCGAGGAGAGCGATGTTGTAAAAGCACACGGAACATTAAGGATCAAACGACACCGCCTCGACATTGAGCATAATTCCACTGCAAAAAGTCAAAACGAAGGGCCACCCAAGATGGGTTGCCCGATCAGAAGGCTGTTCCTGAAGATTAACCAGAATTTGATGGAAAGTTAGAATATTTTAGCGATGGTCAATTATTTATCCATTTAAAACATGGAAATCTTTGTACAATATTGATGAACAAATCTAAATAAAATATCTTATTGCATTCCTCCAGCGGAGATAAATATAAATATATAAATATATTTGATTTTTCTTTTCAAATTCCGAATGCAATGAATAAACAATACATATTTATGCTTGCAATCATAAAATTTTATCATTTACGCAAGTACCAGATAAGCTTGTAGCCTTGTGGTATCTATCATAGTTCGACGCCTTAATTAAGCTTAAGCAGATCATGAGGTGTCATTTGATCATAGAGAAAAGGTACATACTAGATTCGTAAAATCTTGCTATATATTGTTTTTGGACCTTTTAAGTGTAGTATTATTTACACCAGGTGCCGTGATTATGGAATTCACATGAGATTTGAAATGTGTTATTCGCCATGGAATTTTCTTCTAATAATTGTATTGTTAAGCAGCCATGGTTGCATGTTGCTTTTGAAAGTTCTTTTCGTTCTATATTATATATATAATAGGTTTGGCATGTTAAACGTGGGGGAATTTCTAAAAGGAGCTTTGTGAAAATGAGCTTCCTTGCTTTAGAACGGCTGTTGCTCCATCGATGATAATGCAAGTATGCAACTAACACGTGCCTCATGGGTTGGTGCAGTTTAGTTTTACAGGAAGCAGATGAAGAAGATTAACTACTGTTGTTGACTTTAGAATCTTGTCAACTAAAACATTCTAAGAGTGTTCCATCTTATCTATATTTTGGAAAAATACGCTCACGGTGGTTGACAAAAAATTATCATCCTCCGGGTAATCCCAACAAGTCAAAGTCAAGAGCGCATTGTGCAACTTTCTCTTCTTTCTGATAGAGGAGAGGGAGAGGCAAAGTCGCAAAGATCCTTCTGACCCTACTATGTTCTTCTCTTCTGCTAAATTACTATTATATACTCTTCCATGAATGCGAAAGTGAATACAACGCAACGCAACGCAACGCAACTCAGCAGTCCCGTTGGACATCAGCGTTGCTAAATTTGCCCAGATTCCACCATTTTAGAGAGACTAAAAAATATTAATCTTAATATAAGATTTGCGGAATAAAAAGGAGTCACTTGTTAAGCATTATATAACAAAGGAGCTAATTTATAAATAAAATAAATAATGGACATGAAAGTTTGACTCTTCCAACCACCAAAAGTTGGATTACACAATTTTTTTCAAGCAGATTCTCTAGGCCCAAAAAGAACACCCAGTCATCCAGTCGGCTTATAATGAACCCACTAAGGGCAGTCTCAAATCTGGTTGAACTAAGGTGAGGCCCAAATGTGGTGTTGCATTTCCAGAGCCCAAATAGTTAGCTGGGCACGCAACTGAACTTTTCCAGGAAGTTGCTGAAAGAGTTCTGGCCCTCAGGTTTCATTGTGTACTAATATTCTATCTGTTAA